GACAAAGTCAAGTTTTTCTTCATGGAACTTTCTGGAACTATGTCGTTGTGTGTGGGTTTTGTTTTGTTTTGTTTTGTTTTCTCTACCTGAAGTTGGTTGAATCTGCAGGTGTGGAACCTGCAGATAGGGAGGGCTGACTGTAATTTTGCCTCTTCTTAAATTTAAACTTTTTAGCTATCTTGAGTTAATTGTGTATGTGGTGTGAAGATCCAATTTCATTCCTTTGCACATAGATAGCCAATTGCCCGGCACCATTTCCCCAATTTAATGCTGGCCACTGTTGTCAAAAATCAGTTGATCCTAGGTGGACGGGTTCATTTCCAGGCTCTCTATTCAAGTCCATTGATCTATCAGTGTATATTTATGCCAATCTCACTTGTTTTACTGACTATTGCTTTGTGCTAAGATTTGAAAGTGGGAAATGTGAGCCTCCAACTTTGATTTTATTTTTCAGGGTTGTTTTGGCTCTTTGGCGTCCCCTGTAATTCCACACGTAGAGTAGAATAGGCTGTGTGTTTCTCCCCAAAGGCCTTGGGATTTTTCACAGGACCACACCGAGTCTGCAGCTTGCATTATGTATTACTGCCGTCTTAACAAGATTCAGCCTTTCTATCCCCATGGGACGTCTCCATAGTCACTCAGCATTTCTTTACTTAGCAATGCTTTATAATTCTCAGTGTACCAGCCTTGCATCCTCATTGAATCTGTTGCAAACTATTGTATTAATGCTGACATTAGTTAAAAGGGAATTGTTTTCTTGAATTCCTTTTCAAGTTATTAATTGCTGTTGTCTACAAATAAAATCAATTTTTTGTTTATTCATATTTTGCTCTGTAGTTTTGCTGAATTAGTTTAGGGGCTCAAGTAATTTTTTGTTGATTCTTTAGGAAGGTCTACATATAAGACGATGTGAGCTGTGTCTTTGCATAGAGATACTTCGGCTTTCCCCTTTCACAGGTGGTTGCATTTCCCTTCTGTCCTTCTTGCTTTTTGTAGAGATGCCTGTACAGAGCAGATAGCAGTGGGGAAAGCCAGCATCGTGGACTTATTCTCGATTTCAGGGGTAACCCTTTGGTTCTTCCACACTGAGTGTGATGTTTGCTGTGGGTTTTGTATAAAGCTCGATCATACTGAACACATTTCCTTTTACCCTTACTTCTTGAGTGTTTATATCATGGAATAGAACTGTTTAAAGTTTTTCCTGCATCATTTGACGTAGCCACGTGTTTTTACGTCACAGTCACTGGGGCGTATTAAGCTGCCCGACTTTAACATGTTGGACAGCCTGGAGCTCAGCTGCGGAGTCGCTGCTTGCAGTGCGTCGTCCTTTGAATGTGCTTTTGGCTTCACGTTGCTATTATTTTGTGGAGGATACTCATACTGTATGCAGAAGGGACACTGGTCTGTGGTTTTCTTTCTTTAACGTGTGTTTGTGTGATTTGATTAGACTGGGGTTGGTGTCAGTTGCCTAGAGGGTTAGGGCTAAGGCTGAGGCTGGGGCTGGGGCTGCGTTAGGGTTACGGGGTTTTGGCTCTGGTTATGATTCATAATTATGATTCGTTAATAGTTTGGGTTAGGATTTCTAGTTTCTGGTCTCTGGTGTGGTTTCCAGGTTCTGGTTTTGGTTCAGCCTCAGGTCTCAGGATTGGACAAGGGCTCAAGATTCAGGGTTAAGAGCTAGCGGCGAAGGTCAGAGGTCAAGGCTCAGGGCTTGGACTCAGGATTGGAACAGGGTTTGAGGGCTGGATTAGAGCTCTTAGTGGGCATAGGGGGTTGGGACTGAGGTTAGGGTTACTGTTAAGACTTAGGGGTTTAAGAGTTCAAAGTTCAAGTTCAGGGTTCAGGTTTGGAGTTTGGTGTTCAGGTTTGGGTTCAGTTATTTGTTCTTTTACACGTTAGGGTTGAGGACTAAGGGGGATTTTTAGAAAAAAACAGTCTAACCCTCCTCTTTCCGCCTAAAAACAGGAAATAAATTGCCCATGTGAAGGTATCCACCCTGTACTAGGAGGATTAAAAACATCCTTATCACCAGAGTCAAGGAATTCAAGACTAAGAAAGATGTATAAACAAACTTTGTGACTTCTTCATTAGGCTGCTACCCCAAGCACAAGCCCCTTTGTTTTGTTAAATCTTCCCACATTGTCTAAAAATGATGCACAAACAGCCTGTCCTGGTCCTTTGGTGGCGGGGAGGAGGTCCACTTCTATGCGACCTCTGTGCATATGAATTAAATTGTTTTTCCCCTATTAATCTGTCTCATGTCAATTTAATTATTTTTTTAATTTAATTATTATACTAGTCAAAAGAACCCAAAAGGGGCAAGAGGAAAATTTCCCCATCCTGACACTCCCTTTGGTTTCTTTCTGGCCCATTCTTTCTCCATTTTTGACAAATTCTCCCCCTTCTGTCTTGGATTTCCCGCCCCTAAAGAAACAGGTATGCTCCAGTTTTAATGTCTGTGGTGGCCAACTCAGTGAAGGCGCCCCTGCGTGGGGGTGGGGGAGGGAGGGGTATAGCTCAGGGGTAAAGCACACACTTAGCCTGCATGAGATCCTGGGTTCAACCCCCAGTATCTTCATTTAAAATAATAAATAATTTTTTAAAAGAAGAGAAGCAGCCCCTGTCCTCAGCACCTCCTGAGCTGACCCCTCTAGTCAGGGTCCCTTTGGACTCCAGAATGTTGGACCTAAGATGGAGGTCCCAGGGAATAAATCCGTGAGAGCTAGGAGTCCGCGTCCTGCTCCAGGGCATCATTGGGAGGCTGCCCTTCTCACCCTGCGAAGCGCCAACAGCCTGTCTTGGTCTGACTCCCCCTAGGGCCTCACTCCCAGGGGGATGGCCCACAAGGACCCTCTCAAAAAAGGCTACTGTGGTGGGTGAAGCCACCTCTTCCCAAGTCCCCTTTCTCTCTACAGATGTGGATCTTGGGAGGGGTTCCTGGGTGCTCCAAGCCCTTAAGATTTAGGAATGAATGTGTGGCACTGTCCCCTACTCCCATCCCTGTAGCCATTTAAATGATTACTCCAAATGGGAAGAAGTCTGAGGTGATACACACTATTTTGGGTGATGATGCAAGAAAACTGGTCCTCTTACACATTCCCAGGAGGAAACTTTTGGAAAACAATTTGGCAATGTTCGAAAGCATGAAAATACATCTATCCCTACACCCAATCATCCCATTCCTGGTTTCCCATTCTGAGAAAATGATCACTAAGTGAAGGTGACTTATAAAGGTGTTATTGCAAAATTTTTCCTGGTGCTCCTCAGTGGTGAGGGGCTGAGAACATTTCAGTTTATCTCCACAGGGTTTAGGGCCTGAGAGTCAGCATTAGGGTTCATAGGATTATGGCCTGGGGATTAGGGTTCTAGTGAGGACGCTAGTGTTAAGACTGGAGTTAGGGTTGGGGTAGAGCCTCATGGTTAGGGCCTTAGATATAAGCCCTTAGGGTTATGGTTTAGGTTGGTTAGCGTTAGGTGAGTATTAGGATTAGACTCTTAAAAGGAACGTGCTAGAAAAAAATGTGACAATGCATATATGTATGTTCATGTATAACTGAAAAATTGTGCTCTACACTGGAATTTGACACAACATTGTAAAATGATTATAAATCAATAAAAAAATGTTAAAAAATTTTTTAAAAAGCAAAAAAAAAGGAATGTGCTAGATCCCTATCGACTGATTCATGTACAAAGCTCTCAGATGTGTTGTTAAAGAAGAAAAATAAGATGTGTGGAGATGCATATTTTATAATCCCATTTTTGTAAAACATGATGACCAACTAAGCAGCAAGGGTCATGTTTTGCCTATCTGGTGTCTGTCATTCCACAGTGATTTAACCAAGCAGGACCCTCTTGTCATCACTGATGACCCTCTGATACCTGTAATGGTGTTTGTAACTGCTTAGCTGTGTAATGGTTTAAACAGTTTTTCTTACACTTTTGCTGACCAGGGTTGGGCCGGAGAGTTGGGAGGCTTGGGTGGTCCATCTAACCCCCTCCTGGTGCTGTGCGCAGGGATCATGCTCATTGCCCTTCTTTTGACCTCATTCCCCTTCTCTTGGCCCCTTGTGGTTTCCTCCTATCCCGTTGTCCTAGCTTCAGGCCTCAGCCTATAGCAGGAGATCCCAGGCCTCAGCCTTCTTAAAAGGCTAAGAGTATTTATCAACCTGACTTTAAACTGCACACGTTTTCCTCTAGAGCTGTTTTCCATGGAGCCCCTTCCTATGCATCCTTTGTTCTAGGTACAAGACTATTAAGAGAGTCCCAAAACTTCAGACCCAGTAGAGGGAAGGGGACCCCTGCACCTGCAAAAACAATAACTTTGCAACAATTTGTTACCTTGTGTGCAGTCTCTATGGAAACTAGCTCCACCCCTTGAATTCTTGAACTTTTATAGTAAGACCCCCTGTTTTCTCTCCCCAGCAGGCTCACAGTCTTAGAGGCATTAACTTACTGTGACCTCCTTTCCCTGGCAAAGAAATAAAGCTGCCTCTTCTACTTCATCCAAAACTCTGTCCTCAAGTCTCTACTTGGTAAGGAGAGGTACGAAGGCTGTGTTTCAGCAACAGTGAGTGGCTCTAGCCCAGGACAGGCAGCTTTGGGGACTCCTCCTCCACACTTGTGAAGGGGTGCATAGCGGATGGTTTAGATGGGGTCATTTTTCTCTCTGCCTAACACTAGACTCTCCCCTCACCAGATCTCTCCTTGTCCCAGTCTAGAACAGTCTAGTCCTCCTCGGGCACCGATCTCAACAGAGCCCTCTGCTCCAGTGTTAGTGGCACATCATGCCTCAGCCTTCCCCTCCTCTTTTAGGACCTACCTCTAGTCAGGTCTCAGGTCCCTTGTTCTCTTCAGCAGTTGGAGCTCTGCCCTGTGGCTCCCACTATTCTAGAGCAGGAAACTAAATTGATTTGATAAAGCTGGCAATAGAGAAGATGAGTGGCTGGAAGTGCGGCAGTGGGATGGGAAGACGGGTGAAATTTGTGGGAAAAAGAGGCAGGAGAGATGGAGGAGAATGTTTGCAGGACAGTGGACTGGCATGTGTCCTTGACCTGCTGCCACATCCCTGACTTGAGCACTCATGTAGAGACGGGGATCAGAGGTTGAAGTTGGTGGTGCCACTGAAGACAGGTTTTATGATGCTCAGACACAAACACAGATGCCTCAGTGGCATGACACAGAGAGGGTTCCAGAAGGAGGAAGGGGCACTTCCCCTGAGCTTTGCATGGAAACTGACACTGCCTGTGGCTCTTTGAGAAATGAAGAATTGAGGAGCGTCCTGAGCCAGCACCACAGCTGACACATGAATGTTCTCACGATGGCCAAGGGAAGCAGGGGAGTTCTCTTCAGGGTTGTGTGGGCCACATATGTGGTCCACAGAGGGCGGGAGCAGTCACAGTAAGAGGTAACGTGTACCAAACACTTAACTCAGACACTGCAGTTAGCACATTAGATGATTATCTTATGCAAGTATCAAAATGACCCTACATGGAATGAGATACTGTACTACATGCACAGAGTACAGCCTAGGCACTCGTGTGTGAAGGTCCGCTCCTACGCAGATGCGTCACAATGGCACCAGTCTCAAGTTATTGTTCAGGGTCTTAGCTCAATCATCTGTAAAACAGAAACAAAAATAATGGTGAATAAGAATCAAAAGGCTAATAAATTCAAAGCATTTGACATCATAGGGAACTTATATGTCCTCTGTGTTTAACTCTCATATACGACTGTCCCCATTATATCTGTAAGTAAACAGAGGGTCGATAACTTACCGAAGACACGTACTGGGGTCTACAAGAGTCCACATGTGAATGACTGACCCTGAAACCAGAACACAAAATCTTACCTATGAAAATAAAACTTAAGTGTCTTCAGATAACCACGCCCTAGTATCAAGGTGGTAAGGAGATTTATGTATCAATTCAAAAACTTTATACCTATCCATATTCTATTTCAAAAGTAAGTGCTAAAAACACAATTGAAGATAAAAATGAATGAGCGCTTATTCCCATACAGCTTCACCAAGGGAGCTAATAAAGAATAATTTCAGCAAGAACAAAGGCAGACCTGGAGAAAAACCAGGAACACAAGAAAAATGATCCCAAAATGTTAATAATATAATTAATTCTCTTACCCATTTTAAAAACACAAATGTCTAAATAACAATAAAAAAAACATGAGAATAGGTGATGGGTATTTGGACTGTGCCATGACCATGAAGAGGAGAGCGTTCGTGCGCAATAAATAAAATAAATGTGCAACTAATGAAATAAACCTTTGTTAGAAAATGTATAATCGAACTGATTTTTGGATGGGGCAAAGAGGTCATCAAATCCCCTGCTCAAGAAGCGATGTCAGAGACACCCGCTCTGTAATAGATGGTGTTGACTTCCTCTTCCCTGCTTCTCCCCTCTAAGGAAGCCAAATTCCTTGGAAAATGATTACACAGGCAACAATAAAAAGAACTCTGAATGCTGGAAAGAAGAAAGCAGACTGACTAGGGACCTCAGGACTTGGGGAATAACATATGAGGTGTTAGCCTCCTGGGTTTTTTTAATCTCTCATATACCGGGGACTTGGTGTCAGGGAGGTCTGAAACCTGGAATCATCAACAGGTATCCAAAAAAAAAGAAAGAAGAAAAACTAAAAAAAAAAAAAAAAAAAAAAAAAACAGAAAACAGAAAAAGCTGGCTCTCCCTGGCCACAGAAGAAGAAAGGAGAAGCCCAAAAGACTGAGTGGAGCGCCCCAACCCACAACCCGTGACTGAGTCACCAGCAAGCAGCCCCGAGCACCCACAGCAGCAGCAGTAGCAAAGCCCTGGCCTCCCGGACCTCCACCTGTGGCGTGAGAAGACCCAGGAACAGTAGCCCCTGACTCACTCCCTTGTTCAGTGGGAGGTGGCCCGGGAACCCTAGGCAGCCCAGGGAACACTTTACATCCCCACAAACAGCACCAGCAGGAGCTGACAGAGCCCACAGAAGAATGACGCAGACCAGGACAGCACTGCTGGGCTCTGGAAGCTGAACTGTCAAGTTCACAAAAACAGGTCAACTTATTTTTAAGCTAAACCTAAACAGCAAAATTGCCTGCTAAATAGAAGATTGAAATTGGGGTCTCTAAATACCCAAAATACCAAGGATACAACAGAAATCATTCCTCACACCAAGAGCCAGTGAAGAAGAAACAAAGTAATGCTATCAACAAAAATAATTTAATTGACATTTATATATCACTCCAGTAACAGCAGAATACATGTTCTTTTCAGCACTCATAGAACATTTACTGAGATAGTCTTTATCCTGGGTCAGAAAACAACCTTAACAGATTTAAAAGAATTGGAATCATACAAAATATGTTCTCTGACCATACTAGAATAAAACTGGAAATCAATTACAGACAGGCAGCAAGAAAAATTTCAAAACACCTGAAAGTTAGACAGCATAGTTCTAAATAACTTGTGAATCAAAAATGACGTCCTAGAGACAATAAAGTCTACACAGACCTGAATGAAAATGAAAGAACATCGTAGCACGATTTGTAGGATACAGCTAAAGCAATCCCGAGAGAGGTATACGTCGCAATACACGCTTACATTAGAAAACTGAAATGGTTCTGCATTAGAGTCTGGGGTACCAGTGTGAACTCATACACATACACACACACACAAGCACAGAGAAATACAAAATAGGTAAGGCTGTATAAATGGGAACATTATTTCCAGTTCTGTCTGCTGAGAGGACCTAGAAGCAGAGATTTGCTAGTAGCCATGAACACACCTGAATGCTCAGATTTTGTTTGTTTTTTTTAATTCCTTTGTCCAATAGCAGGAATCAAAGCTCCTTGGAAAAGTAGTTGACTCTGGAACTGGGCAGACAAAATAACAAGATAGTCCTGGAGCACCTTCTGAGGCTAAATAAAGTAAAGAAATCCTTGGGAAAAGGTAAGAGGGAAATGCGGGCATGTTGGAAAGACTCAGGAGCTAACCTGAAAAAGGTCAAATCTGGAACAATTTGAGCAACAAAATTAACAGTAATAATAGTAGGCAATAGCCGAAATAATAAAATAAATATTGATGAGTCCATGCAGGTATAAATGATTAAATAAATGTATGCAGAGAACTCTTCCTTAGAGAAGAATTCTAATTAAGTGTAGATGAAACAAGAGAGGTAGAAAATCACCATGAGAACAGCACAAAAATAATTGCTGTAGGCAAGACCCAGTGATCACATCAAAATCAGTGGTGAAAGTTTAAGGTTAAACAAGATTTTTGTGTAGCATCAAAGTATGACCCACTTAAATATGTATTACATAGGCAGAAATAATAACCATTTAGTGGAGAACCCTGGCAGATACCACCTTACTCAGGTGATCAAGATTAACACTTCTCCTGTGCTGAGAAGGGTAGGTTGCCCTCGGTGGGATTCTTCTTAAAAATCCATAACCTCAATGTACTCATTGAGAAAACAGCATGCAAATCCAAATTGAGGACAATTCTACAAAATACCTAACTGGTACTCCTCGGATGTATCAAGGCCACAGAAGATATCAACACAGAGGAACAATCACAGTCCGGAGGAGACTAAGGAGACATGACAACTAAATAAAATGTGGGATTCTGGATTGATACTGGTAAAGAGAGAAAATTCTACTGGAAAAAAACTAGGGAAATCCAATTCAAGTCTGAAGTGCAGCTAATAGCTTTGCACCAGTGTTAATTTCCTGGTTTCAATAACTGACCTGTAAGATGCCAACATTAGGAGAAGCTTGATAAAGCCTAGATGGGGGGAGGGGGCGATTCTCTGTACTATTTTTGTAATTATCCTGTAAGACTGAAATGGTGTCACATTTAAAAAATTTTTAGACTAAAGTTGTCATGAGTCATTTTCTAACTTACACTAGGCAGAGAGGGAAAAGGTGGGTGCCTTTTCAAAACACAGAAATCAGAGGCATCAAGTGGTTCCAACCTTCCCAATTGGGCCACAGAAAACCTAAAGCATGAGTTAAGTATGGCCACTCATACAAGTCAATTCTTTCTCCACTGTGAATTCAAAAAGCAAAGACAGGAATGTTCGATAAATTAGCAAAAAGTCATACATATTTTTCAATATATATTATTATATGTCATATAATACATATTATATATTCTATACATAATATATTTAACATGTATATATGGTAAACATATGTAATGTGAATGTGCATTATACATATTGCATGTATTACATATGTGTATGAAATATATACATATAGTATTACATATATTTTGTATTATATTATAAAGTATTATATATACTAATTATATTTTACATATATGTATATACATAATATATAAATATACAATATATCGTATATATGTTCTGTGTATTCTTATTGTGTACATAATATATACATATAATATACACACAATAAATTTACATAATACATGACTTTGTACATGAATCTATGGCATTTGAATATAAATGACTATGTATGTGACGTACATGACTGTTCATCTACTGAGTGTTCATGTGGAACCAAATGTTGAGAGAGAGAAAGAATACACAGATTCTCAGAAAGATGGACCACGGCCCAATTAAGAAAAGGGAACGGTAGAGACAGCTGCAGCAGCAGCAGGTGTCCTGCCTGCTCCTCCCTGCAGGAAAACTGGTCCAAAGCTTCCCTGTTCTGTCGCAGGGATCCTGACCACAGGCGTGGGCCCGACAGATGACCTCCAGCCGCCCAAATCCTAGCGGCACACCTGGCTGAAGGACGATGGGGATGGGCCATTGTCTCTGGAGAGAACTGACTTGATGGGGCTGGGGAGTGGGCTGCAACCACAGGAACAGCACCCTGGGCTCCCTCAAGAGCGAAGCTGGAGTCTGACGGTCTCCTTTAATGCTCCTCTGAGCAGCAGAGTACTGGGGAACAGAGCCTGGAGGGCCAGGAAAAGGGAACCATTTTTTTTACAGCCAGGTGGAGCAAGACAGAAAATAACAAGGCAGCCCATGGAGACAGCGGCCCAGCCAGCTACACAGGAAGGTCCCGGGCCGGCCTGCCGAGCGCCGGTCTCCCAGAGACCCCGCAGCTGCGCGTGCGCGCTGGGGGCAGCGGGTTGCGGGGCGGAAGGCCGAGAGTCTGCGACGGCCTCGGGCTTACCCTTCCAGGACTTTGTTGATCCACTGGATCGCAGCTCTTTTCTCTCGGTCAAGGTCTTCAGCAGTGACTCGATAACCCGGCTGGGGGGCTGGGGGCAGGATCAGTGGGTCGTTTCGCCTTGAGGGTAGCAGCAGAGGGACCTTCCGCTTCCGGGGCCTGGAACCGCCGTCAGATGGTTGTGAACGGTTCAAGCTTTGCGTCTTCCCTGAGGGGGCATCGGCAGCCTTTTCAGGCTCGATCTTCCTTTGCGGGCCCACTGAGGACGAAGGGCTAGGCTGATGGCGGTCCTTGCCGGCTGTCTCGGCGGGCGCGTAGAGGTGTGAGGCGGCCGGGCCCAGGAGCCCGGCAGCGCGCGGACCGCCCCTCTGCAGCGGTGGAAAACCCCTGGTGGAGCTGTACGAACTGGTGATGGCATTCCGTTTGCTGCATGAGCTCAGAAAGTGGGTCTGGGATTTCCTAACCGGGACATCTCCTGGGCTGTTGGAACAAAAGTCTCTCTTCAGAGGCCCAGGCCTGGGCACAAAGGAAGCGAGAACCCCGTTGACCACCAGGCGCCGAAACGCAGACTGCGCGTGCACACTGCCGTCTGAGCCCTGTCTCTGCTCGTCCTGACTTTCGGGGACTGGGTGCCCTTCCTTTCGCTTTGCTTGCCCTTTACTGCCCTCAGCCAGGGCCGGCAGTTCCTCCTCTGTCTTGGCTGTCAGTGGGCCGCTCTCTTCAAGACCCATCACCGGGGTCTCCTTTACACAAAGGTTTGGGAGGTGGAGAGACAGTGACGACCACATGCAGATGACCGTCTGCTTCAGAGCCACACGCATCTTCAGCTTGCCTTTGGCAGATGCCATCTTCAGGAGCACCGAGGTGCGGAACATGCTGGAGATGCACGTGTAGAGCCCTGGCTTCTGACGGCCGCTCCGGGGCACTGAGGAAAAGGCCCCCAGAAGCAAGAACCGAGCCTGCTGGATTGGACATTGCGGCCGGTGGACGACAACGAACCGCCGGCGGCGCCGACGACGATGGGGTGAAGCCACCAGGTCCTGGTACGACAGCCTGCGGGGCAGGTCCAGGGCTGGGGCCCCGGAGTGAACCCGGCAAGCCGGAGGAGCTCGGCGGCCAGGATGCGCTGACCCAAGGCGCTGGGGTCTCTCCGGCAGGTCCCCGCCACGCAAAACAGGGGGCGGGGGGCGAGGGCGAGGCCAGCTCAGGTAACCGCCCATGAGGCGCGATTCTGCACGGCTGGGGCCTTCAAATGGAGTCAGTGGCTCCGAGAGGTTTCCGTTAGCTGCCAAAGGGGCCCCAAGC